CCGCGACGGAATGTTACCGAATCGTGACCGGGAAATGCTTTTTAATGCGGTCACACGTGAATTTGTTCGAAAAAAGAAAACGACGCGCTTACGCGAAGAATATTTGGATAAATGTCTATTGTTCTTGTTCTGATTCATTTAACATCGATTTAAGAAGAATCAATTTTGAGAGAGGCGCGTATCGTCGCTTAAATATTTTATGTGAAAGTTAGATAAATTTAAAATACGAGAATTGATACATATTTTATGCCAGAGACACGAATGTGAATATAAACATAGAACGTTGTTTTTTCATATCTAATTTTAACTCATAATGACAATGTTTTAACGTTCAAATTAAATATCTCAAAAATGTTGATCTTGATAATTGTACTATATTTTATATTTTCATAATCATAATTTATCAAATTGTATATTTTGTGTGTCTTTTTAAAACGAAAATTGAGCAGTATTGAAATAAAAAAAATGATCATTAATAAAAAATTGCACAATTGACAGCTAAAAAATTAAAAGATTGAAATATTGGAATAGATTATGTTTTCACATAATCATGATATTACTATAAACATTATAACATATTAAAGAACCAAATAACAAGATAATACAGAAAAAAATCATCATCTGACACACAAAATATAATTATTTTTCTTACGTTATATAAAATAATCATATCATTATTTCATTTCAAATAAAACGGGCCTGTCTCTGTTCTAAAATTTTCAATTGACAATCAACAAACACCTTCATAAGATGGTAAGATGATTGATGATAGTTGAATGATTATTAATCGTCTCATAATTCGAGCATTGATATATGTATAGCCGAACCGATACGCGGCAGAAATCCAATTATCCGATTTCCGTTTTTGCGCATCGACAATTAATGGGCTATTCTGATTGACCGACAGTTCTGTTATCTGGCATCGTAATTGTGCCCAAGCGCGATGATTTCGATGGTCATTCATGCGTAACATGTCAACTCGCGATCAACTTAACTCCACGGTGTATAATCATAATGCGGAGGAGGAGAGTCTTTCTATCGTGGCTCACGAATATTCGATGATTTAAAAATGAACCAAAGCTCCTGTTATAGTTCATCAGATCATTAAATTAACATGGAATATTTCCAAAATTCAGGTATGGAGGTATAATTGGTCACTGCAAAATAAATTCTATTATTACAATATTATAAATATTTGAAATTTGTAGTAAATCAAAGTTATCATTATTAAATGATCATTAATTTGAAATTTTGCAGAAATATAGTTTCAATGATTAGTAATAATACTAATAAAGAGTAATAAATCATATTTTATTTTGAAAATATAGATTATATGATGAGTTCCAAGATGGATAACAATTGTTGAAACGAATACTTACTTGTTTTGTTAATTAAAATATCTGGGATTCAATCATGTATATTTATGATGATTTATAATACGAAATAGAATCACATATCCTTCATCCAAATATTCTGTCATATCTCTAACAATCTAAAACATTATTATAAAAGATCAGCATGATTTGAAATAATATAATAAATGTTCATTAATTCAAATAAGAAGTTTAATTTTGTCATTATAATTTAATATTAATAAATTAATAAATTTTGTCTAAGTGAACTTTCAAAATTTCAAGATAATCTTTATTTTTTGTTAACTATTCTTCTCAAATGGATATATATTCATGATAATATTCAATACTTTTAAAATTAATTAAGCATATATTAAATGGCATGACTTTATTGAAATAACGACCAGAGAATTTTATTCAGGGAGCTTAATTCATTCCTCATGAATTTTAATGTAATTTATAGATTTCTTTATGAAAGGGCACATTTTCAATGGAAATCCTAAAAGGTATATCCTTCTTACAACTTTCTTCCCTCATATTCATATTTTTATGAACGGAAATATTCTGATAATCCAAACCATCTTTATCAATATATTTGAGGCATGTTTTTAAAAATACATATAATACATTTTTCTGGTCATTTCTAATATCTATTCAGCATTTTTATTATTAACAATAATGATTAATTTGATCAATATTGATTATTTGTTATTGAAATAGTCGCGTATCAATAATTTTTTGAATAATAATATATTTATTTGAAATTTTCCAAATATTTTATTTAATTTAATATTTCTTTAAAGTATATTATAATTTAAATCATGTAATTTATAATATATATCAATTATATAATAATTTAGCAAGTTGTTAAATTTCTCTTTCATATGTTCATGCATCAGAAAATTCAATTTGTAAAAAACGACATATAAAAGATGAAAAAAAAAACATTCATATAAAATAAATGAATGACAAATATAATCGTATATTTTATAACCAATAAAATTCTATCGATTCAATGGTTTAAAAATATCCTACAGTTTCGTAAATTTTCAAAAATTCCAGAATTAATAATCGAATTTCCGAATAAGAATTCCAAAATATTTCCTTTCCAAAACAAACAGGAAACAGAAAGATTTAGAAGCATTTACCAAAGGAACAACTCCCTTTCATATCAGCTGAAGGTAACCTTTACTGTCTAGCATTTAACAAATGCCCTTAACCGTAACATTCCCGTTATCTATCGTTCCCCAATTCCACAACAGAACGATTCAACAATTGTCGCAAACAACGGATCTATTTCACCGAGAACAGCGTCACGGTGGAAGGACTTAGCGTCGCGTTACACTCGCAATGGAAAACAGATACACATCGCGGAATATTCACGTTTCAAACTATCGCGGGAAGGGAGTGGTTAAGGGGGATGAAACCATCGTGAGGGCTCGCGTTCGCACACCTGGTGAATTCGACTATGAGTTACAACGTTACAGACGTATCGGGTGAACGAACTTGCACCCAACGAACAATAACACGACGCCGTGTTACGTGTTCGCACGCTCTTGCTGACTCGTAAACGGAACACGGTTGAGAGGCATCGATAAAAGTCTCAGCGCCGCATTTAACGGGACAAAGACCCGTAAATTTCGCGTACCAGTTTCTCGAGATCGCAATTAGTCGACCTATTCACGTGCATGCTCAACTTCTATTCCCCGCTCTTCCTTAGCAGTGATTCCTCGATGTTGGTCAATTTTGTTTTCGCAACTAAATTTCGTGCGAATAGAGAATTGTTCCTGAAGAAATAATGAAAATCGTGATTAACCGATGTTAAAGGTGAAATAGTGTGGTGAAACATATTAATAAAAGAGTTATAATTAAATAATTTTTCAATTTAGAGATATGTAAAATTGAGATCATAATAATCTTTACGTTATTATTTAAAAATAATAATTTTCATCAAATAAAAGAATTAAATAGAAATGTTTTGAATAAAGAATAAAAAATATAAAATTACTATTTTTATTTTGTCATTCATTTTTATCATTTTTAATTTTATATCTTATTTCGATAAAAGTTTATCGACATAAAAATTTCTAACCTAGAAAATTGTTCACTTTTTTACTCTTTAAGACAAGTTTCAGTTAGGAGTATTGGAAAACTACGGAAGTATCGTAAAGAATTATTTTTTGTTGCCCGTAGAACCACACGATTTTCAGATTCGAATTCACGTCCGTTTTGTGTTTTCATCCCGAGACGAAATGTTCGTTACCGTGGACTGACTTGTTCCTGTTAAAAGACCGTCTATTTTCCCCGAAGATAGCTTGTTTCGATTCACCAGCGACTTATTCATCAGAACGTAACCGGTCTTCACTAGATAACAACCTATTTGTTAAAATATGACCCTGTTCAACTTTATTCGCGAAAATACGATTTTCTTCTATCGTATATCTAACCTGTCTGTTACACTGCGACTTATATCCGTTGGATAACGAGCTATTTGCTAAAATATTCGACTCTATTGCATTAAGAATCATTTATTAGAATACGATTCATCTTTGATAACGCAATCCAATAACGCATATAATTGCGTATTTGTTTAATTGCACTGTATTAATTGCACTTTTTATTAATTTATATTTCAACAATCAGATATTCTTCGAGAAAAAAAGATTTTTCTTTTGATAACGATTAATCAATCGATTATTAATTAATTGATGATTAAAATTATATATCGAAATAAAATATAAACGAATTCACAAAATAATGTTCTTTCTATTAAGAATAAAAAGAATGAAAAGCATTCTTGCCGTACCAGTGTATATAACCATAGACTATAGAACTTTTTTCTTATATCACAAGCTGGATACACACAACAGTCTTTTCCAAGCGTAAACGCATTTTCTCCCGCAAAAGATTTACGGAACAATATTACTCGACACAAATCTGATGTTCCAGCAAAAGACGACCCAGTGACCGAAAATTGATCCACTTTCATTATTCCACATCCTCGTTACCATGATATAGCACTTCTACACCAACTTTCTAGAATCGACAGTCTTCGTAACTATCGAAGGATAGCGCTTTATTCGACCCATGTGATCGTCGATCAGATCCTATTGGCCGGATCCTTCACTTACACAAACGTGTGTACATGGTGTCACGCGTATCGTACGTGAACAGAGAGAACGTCAATGACGACATGGAGAGCATGTATCGATAACGTTTCCGAGCGTATGCAGGTTAAGTTTCGCCCACGAAAAGTGGTCATTGTACCGGACGATCCCATTCGATATGCATAGAACGTTTGCAGTGGATACCCAGTGAGGATGGCCACTGATAGCAACTCTCTGAACGTTGCATAAATGTCCGGAAGATGTTATTGACTGGGGGATATTGCACGCGAGAGCTCGATATCGCGTACTCTCCGATATCGATAGTCTCTTCTTTGCGAAACTGATGTTTCGAATGGTGTGAGATAGGCAATCACTGATTCGTTCTCTTTGTTTCAGATTAAAATTCTTTGCGGGAATAAAAGAAAGATAGCGGAAAATAGAATAGAGAATCAAATAAGAATTAAATATTTACATATATTCTTAACTAGGGATATCGAAGAACTATCGATAATCAGCGATACTTGTAAGTTTCATTCTATGATATAGTATAACCTCGATTATCGAAATTATTAAATATGGATGGTAGAATTTTCGTTTCGGATAGTAAAACGACAACTTTCTTCTTCTGTATTAAATATCATATATTTTAGAAAATAATTATAGATAGAAATATAATTATTAAACATAAATATATATTTTTATAGAATAAAACAATGATTTTATAGAAATATGTTGTGTGATTAGAAATATGATTTGTGATTTCAGTGAAATATATTTTTTCCATAATACATATAATTCGCACATTTGTTTTAAAGTATGTATAAAAATATATGTGCATATGTTATATTACATTAAATTAATTTCTATCGATTAAATATTAACTTAATATTAACTTTTGTAATTAAGTAATATCGATAACAATAATCAATCAATACTGATTAATATTGATATAGGCCATATCAAATTACGTTTTTGCATTCTTGAATTGTTTATAATTAATTACAGTGATTTTCATTTTGAATAGCTTAAAAATATAATTTTCACAACGTAAAAATAAATTTTGTGAAAGTGAAAGTGATTTGTATGTGTAAAATGCTAAAAGTTTGGAAAAATCGAATATTAAAAATTGAATTGAAAATAAATTCAATTTCATTAAATAATGAAAATAATAAACAATAGTGAACAAATTTATTGTCAAAATAAAAAATTAAAATTCGAAATAAAAATAATTAAATAAGTGCTGATAACATTGTGTGAAAGATTTTTGATTTTTAATTTTTTCTTTAAAATTTTGCATTAATCATAAAAAATATATTGTTAAAAGTGATATCTAATATGTAATATTACATTTAATATTTAATATATTATTATATATACTTAAAACTTAAAATTTAATTCTTAAATGATATACAATGATTATTTAATATTAATAATCACTGAACTTTATAGTTTTTCAATATTTAATATATTATTTTATTGCATATTTGAAAAATTTTCATAATTATATATTTTTTATGTATATTTGTATAGTTTTTTATGAATATTTGCATATTTTTTTATGTAAATATGTCATTTTGTACATCTGTATCATTTTACACATAATGCAAATATTTATTGTCAACTGATTGAACAAATTTATTATGTTTTATTTATTGAATAATAAAGTTAATTATTCCAATTAAGTAAAATTATTCCAATTAAATATTTAATTGATTGTTATTAATAATTAAATATTAATATAGTTAATAGCTAAATATATAATATTAAATAATAATAATAATTTTTAACAATATTAAGTATTAATTATATATTACATTAAATATTAGATGTAATATTAATGTGATGTAATAAAAATTTAATAAAATTAATTGGTGACATTAATCGATAAAAATTGAATTTTATGTATCGAAAATATCTGTCACACGATGTTATCAGTGCACATTTAACTATATTTTTCCTTTATTTTTTATTTTTTTGTTATAAATTTAATAATAAATATTTTCTTTATTTCTCTTATTATTTAATAAAAACATATTCTACATATATTAAACAAATAAATAAAAATTTTCAGGTTTGAATATCGACTTCCATCTCGACCCGAATATTCAAATACCGAATATTCAGTTCAACACACGTTATCCGAGCATTCGATGTCAGCACACAGGTCTGTACTCAATGGGAGAAGGGTTAACACCGGAAGAACAAGTTCTCCCTATTCCAATCTCTTTGCCTACCGTCACACATCCATGTCGGTTCAAAGACGATCGATTCTATCGCTTTAAAGGGATAAAGCTTATGAACAACAGTGAGAAGGTCTCGTCGTAACCCTTTTCATTCTCTCGTGTCGAAAAGCGTGAGTTTCCAAGACGTTTTCCACATCTAGAAACACGAAGCTAGATCGGAGCCAACGATCAAGAAGAAACTGGCACGAGTCTTGGGACATAATTCTCGTCCCGTGAGTTATGTATTTCGCAGGAGGAGGCGTACCGACTCTGATAAATATCTTTCTGCACAGAGTATACCCTTTTGCGGTGACAGCGAGGAGAGAAGGTGGGGAATACGTCGGAACCCGATCAGAAATCGGAATCCCGTGGAAAGGAGGTTCCATTAGCGAGAACGGATTTCGAGGAAAGGATTTCTCTGAATCCTCGCCGTTCTATTAATGTCACATCCATCGCCGTCGGGGACTGGCGAAAAGAGGAATAAAGGGAGGAAGAGTTGGAAAAGAAGAAAGAGTGAAACGTGGATTTTCATCTTATGCTGCTTGTATCGATGATACTATGAAAACCTTGTGTTCAATTATGTCTTTTCTTCGAAGGTACACGGTTGAATATGGGCATTGTGCGAAGATGACTTGGCTAGGAAGAAATATGTGATTATGATTAGTTGATCCTGATATATTTATGATTATAGATATCAATATTCAGGTATATTGGTTAAATTATGTTTATTGATGAGATTATATAACATGAGTCTAAAAAATAATAAGAATTTTTTTTTTACTTTATTTTGCTATTGTATTTAAATATATGTGATTTGGTACAAGAAATGCCATGTTTTTGTAAAAAAATCAATTAATTGGTTTAGTATAAACAACTGTATACTCTATATAAAAAAAAAATTTTAAATTTTATCTAGAAATGTTTATAATAGGATTTTTATAATATTATATTATATATATTTATATGATATAACATATACTTTTATGTTAGAAATAATTTAAATATGAATTTTTTAACATGACTATTAATATCTTAATTTCATAAATATTAGCATTGATATTTCTTGCATCAAATCACAAATATTATATTTATTTATATATTATCTGAATATATCTCTATTCATATTTCTTTCACTTTCAGTTTCAATTCATCAATTTCAATTCTATTGGAGTAACAAATAATTTGGTAATGAATTTTATAAGAATATTACTAATTTATTACATATATAAATGAAGTAACATCAAGCAATATTATGCAAATTTTACTAATTAAATTTATTCTTCTGATTTTACAGCTTCTATATTCTTTTAATTTAAATTTATGTGATTTTTTTTCATTTCTTTAAATTCAAAAGTTATTTCTTTGGAGTTGTAATTTTGGAATAGACAATATTCATAAGGTTGTTAAAAATAATTAAAAATAATTTAGGTAAAAGCATTTTAACATTATTATCAAGATTGGGAATAATATTTCTATCAATATATAACTTTTCAAAATAACTATTTCGATATTATTAATAATATTCATTTACTGATAAAAGAAACAAACTAATCATTTGTGAATTTATTTATATTTTTCATCTCTGAAATGAATATATGAAAATAACATAGAGAGATAATAATCCATACATCAATAGGATTTCTTTTTCAAATATGCTCGTATAAAGATGAAATAAAAATAAAAAGTATGTATTATATTATATATGTAGATTTTTCATAAAGAAAGAAATCTATATTTGTATAAACCAGTCTTATTAATTTTTAAATATCTACTATGTAGTGAGCAATGAAAGGAAGTAGTCTTTTTACTTTTATGCATTCTCTCAATTATTTTATAATTTTTATATTATAACTACAAGTTAATTAGAAGATCAAATTCAAAAAAGTTTTGGATATCTTTCATTTCTTTTTTCACTTTGATACTAAGTGTGTGTCTGAATTGTTCTCTTCCTTAGGAAACCATAAATTAAATTATAAACCATAAATTATCCCAAACAATGTTGGTACTAGACATCTGGGCCTAAGAAAGAAAAATGGATAGACATTAGTTTTAAAGTTCTGGTAAGTATTCTCAAGCTTTTCATACAGAAAAACTTTTCATGGGTCAAATTGTTCTTCTTAGATTCTAAAAATCATAGATAGCAAGTTCTGAAAAAAGATAATTTAAAAAGATACCATGTGTGGTCTTCTTACATTTACAAGTACTCCTAATTATCTTTTCTTACAAATGTAAATTAATTTATATTATTCTAATGTTTATATTAGGAATTAATATTTTTAATTTCTTTACATTTCTTATTTCTTGAGAAATAAGAAATTAGATTTTCTTGAAAAATAAATATTATAAAATTTATATTTATAGAATACTTTTAATATTGTCAAAATAAAAAAAAACGACGTTAAAAAAATTAAAATATAATATTAAACATTTATCATGAAAATTAAAAAATTCTATTTTTCATAAATTTTTCAATAATATCTGATTATTGATAATTGCTTAATTAGTTTAGTTGATTCTGGTTCAACAGAGATTTATTTATATCTGGTTTTGCTCAATGTACTATATGCCATTATACAACTAGATTATATAATGACATTAATATACGACCAATTTATTTATCGCTTTTGTTAATATGATTGTTTTATGACATAATAAACAAGATTTTAACGATTTAAAGGCAATTTGATTTCTGAAGTAAAACAATCATAATTTTAACAACAAAATAATAATATAATATTATCTTCCTTCGATTTTAATTCTAATTTTAACCCTATATTTTAGATTCCAATCAATTAATTTTAATTGATTATATCGTTTCCAAAAATAATAACATCTTTTTGGACTACTTTAAGTAAATACTCTATTTACTTTCAACTCCACAAACGATTCTTCATTAACTTCGTGTACGTGTAATTTTCCACAAGAATTTATCTCGGCACACGTAACTTCTCCATCTCTCTATCTCCTTCACTCGACGCAGCAATTTCCAGAAGATATTCAAGCACGTTCAACCGAAACCTTCAAACCACATAACCCATCCACTTCACACCCACACGATCCACACGATAATCTCAAGCACGTGGTCCAAACACTCATCTGTCACACCTGTCCAACCCTCCAAACTAAGTATTCGTCGTTCGCGCATCTATCACACTGATCGAACTTCTCCCAACTTCATCCTCCCCCTCCCCCTCCTTCTTTCGTACAAATTCTATCGTTCCCCCATTATCAATTTTTCACTCTTCCATCCCAGGATCCAACTTGAAAAATATTCAAATATTCTATACGCTTTGTTCACCCTTGTTTGATAACCGATAAAATAATTCTCGGCCAAGCTGAAAATGTTGAAAAACCAACATTCGCGTTTTATATGAAAAGTATAGAGCATAAGATGAAACGAGGCGGCCGGGTTAAAATCCAGTTCGTTAGATGGTAAGTAGACGGGGTTGGTCGCAGCTACTTAATCCTCGGCCGTGTAACGCGGAAAAACAAGGCTCGGTGCACAATTTCCACCCTCGTATTTAAACGGTGTCGCTGGCAACTGACTCCGCTGGTAAATTGCGAGAAGAAACGCGCCATCGTAAAAGTTAAAATTCCACCAAGGGTAAATTCCATCCAAACGAGGCTGTCACACTGTGCATAAAAGGAAGTTGGTCGTTGGAGCAATAATTACTGGGAGGTGGGAGGGCGAACGACCGTGGCGGATTATTAAAAATACACGTTCTTCCTTTTAAATAATTTTGAACCTCGGTCTGAGAGTCTTGGCGGACAAAAGTGGTGGAACAAAGGGATTGTCGAGGAGTGGGGATGGGAGAGAGAGAGGGAGGGAGGGAAGGAGGAAGGGAGAGAGAGAGAGAGACAGCGAGTGTAAAATCAGAGGGCATGGAAACGGTGGACGGTCGAAACACGGCACAAACAAATATCGAGCTATACGTTATTTTTCATTTAATGCTTATCGGAATTTCCGGTGTACAGCAAATACCCTGCCAATCGGTTCCGACCAATTGCGGTCCACCGCTTTAAACCGATAAAATTGATTCGATTAGAGGTGAGAGAGAGACCACTGATGCTATATCGATTGTAGGCTAACACCTAGCAACAGGATCGTTTGTCGCAGGCTATTTAACAAAGGGAGGCTAATAACGTTGACCAAGAAATATATTCGTTTCGATCTGAATTCCTTCTTGAAGGAAGGAGTTACACGTGTGTTTAATTAATATACTTTTTAATGTAACGCATTAGAGATTGAATTTTAAAAATCAAATTGTAATTATAAAAGATAACTTGTAAATTTTTGAAACGAAATTCTTATGAGAATAATTTATAGAGAAATAAATAATATTCAACTTTTATAAATTGAATGATTGAGAAATTGTAAAGAAATTCTCATTTGGCCAGCAAAAGTAGTAGTGTAATTGATGTTAATATATCAAATTTATCATATTTTTCTAATCTAGTCTGGAATTAGTTGTTATTGCTTTTTATTAAAAGAAAATTTTTAAATAGCAAAATTTTTGAAAGTATAGATCAAAAAATTAACATTAAGTAAGTTTTATAATTGAAAAAAATTAAAAATTTCCTTTAATCATAAGAAATAAAATATTATGGGAAAATAAACTTTTAAATGACATTATAAAATGATCTAATAATTCACCTTTTATTAATAAATGCTGATCTAAAAGATAAAAGATTATAAAATATACTTGATAATGTATAAATTATTATAAATCAAAACTTGAAATAAACATTGTCAGTATATTGTGAGGTTTTTCTAAACAAGAAATGTTATATAAGATATAATATATTCTACCAAAACAATAAATTTAATGTGCAAAAATATGAGTTGAAACTTGTTCATTAAGTTAAATAATTCAAACACTCTGCCTCGTTTTAGTGCAACATTAAACTGCTTAATAACTTAAGAAATAAACATCACAATCAATATTTTTGTATAATTTATGCATCAATTTGTTAAATAATTATACTATATATAATTATAAATTATATCACTAAATGTAAACATTTAAACGCTATTTTTAAAAAAATAGTAATGTCTCTAATCGTGTCACAAACCAACAAATTTCCAATTCAAAGAATTTATGGTATATTTATATATTTGTGATATCTCGTGACATACTCGATTCTACAAATTCTGATGAATTATTTTACGATTAAAGGATGTTCCTATTAATTATTACTCGACGAGTTTGACTCAATGGCTCGTAATAACGCTGAAACATCACTGTATCAGTTCCAGCATTACGCGAGCAATTAACTTAAACCCATTGCTTGAGTCGATGCCTGCATCGTAACATGTTTCATCCGTCCATAGACCGCTTAATATTCAGTGGTTGCGGTCAATGGGAACACGTCTACTTGCGTGATAGAGACACGTGATAGTTGCTTGAACAATCTACCAGTAATGAATCAATGTAAAACACAGTTTCAAATAAATAATTAAAAGAAAATTCGGATTAATCTCGTGGATAAAGAATTCGTTCTCTACTGGTATGAATATATATTATACGTATTTTGCAATATTTTTCGCTCAGAATGATCTGCAAAAAAAAATCAAGTATAATAAAACAACAACGACAAATTGAATGAATAAAAAATTTCAATTTAAAAACACTTACAAATCTTATTCTAAAATAATACATTTTCCATCCACTTTATAATCGATTCATTGAATTTTTCTCTCTTCAACCTGATCCTTTAACCTATACGTGATACGTAAATGGAATT